CGCAACATTTACATGGACCAAATTCGGGCAGAAAATTCGTTTTGCATTGAAGATGAACTCGGTGTGCTAAAAAGTAGTGAATTCGATCGGTGGTTATCATATTATGTAAGCGCAATTAATTTCCTCATCATGAAGGTGAAATTGATATTTGAAGTAGACACATTGTAATAATTGTTTTTAACCTTTTTTTGAACAGATGTCCCCATTGGAAATCTCATGGCCACGAATTTCAAACGTGGTTAGAGGAGTTGGCAAATGGGCCATCATCTGTTGCAAAGGTATATCCGCTATATTGCACCCGTGGATATGCTTTTAAGATTCGTATACTGGCCACATGCACGAATAGAAAAATAATTAGATCTACGAAAAGGGGAAACCAAAAGGCTTAGATCCTGATGTTTGTAAAAAATTGCCGGAGGATTGGGCATTGCCAGAGACGAAAGCTCTTTCCGAGATAAACTCCGTTAATCAAAAGAAGAATCCTCGTGGCACTCACAACTCCGGAACGACGAGCTTCAGAGGTCGCGAAGCTAAAATGGTATGTTTGTTGGTTTGCCTTTTTCTAATACATTATCATTCAATTATCATGTTTCAATTTTTTGGTTGGCAAAACAATCTGGAGGTGTTCGTCCAGATTTCGAGATTTTACTAAAGGTGACGCACACCAACAAAACAACCAACAACATTGACTATCCGGAGATTACGCAACGCCTCAAGAAGGTGGAGAAGAAAAAGGAAGAAAGGCTCACACAACTTTCTCAAAATCAAGATGGTGAGGCATACCTAACCTTCGATGAGATCAACAAAATAGTCCTTGAGGTTTATTTATTTCTTAAGAAATTTTCATTTTAATCCTCATTTAGTTATACAACTTATGACTTTGTGTTTTTGACAGGAAATTCCTCTATAAAAGGGTCTACGTCCTGGTTTAGGTAATCTTGTTTGTGGTGATGGGGATACTTCTACTACTTTTTCGAGAGATCCCTAGCTCGTTGAAGAGGTTCAGAGTTTGAAAATAAAACTCGGAGAAAAGACGGTTGAGCTAGACACATTGAAGCTTAAGCATGCGACAACCGAAGAATCTCTTGCACAAGTTAAGGATTTTATCAAAGGAAAATACCCTGATGCTTTTCCCTCGTTAGATTAGTTTATATGCTTTGATGTTCTTCTAAGTTATGTTTTTGTATTATAACAGTTTCTTTTGAATGGTAAACAATGTGAAATATTATTTTAAATTATAATTGTTTAACTACATTATTAGTTT